CCCTAACCCAACTGTTGTCTGGCAAACGCGTACCACTACCCTAGCCCTAACCCTAACCCAACTTTTGTCTGGCAAACGAGTACCACTTCCCTAGCCCTAACCCTAACCCAACTTTTGTCTGGCAAACGAGTACCACTTCCTTAGCCCTAACCCTAACCCAACTTTTGTCTGGCAAACGAGTTCTACTTCCCAGACCTAATCAATCTCTTCCGAAACACTTCTCAGGTACATGCTATCTAATAAATGAAGGACTGTTGTAGATGTTAAAATTTGACCTTCACCACCTAACTTGATAAATTTACCCTCCGATTATGCATGCCTCGGTGATGGCCAAAAAAATGCTTCGCCAAATCGGTTCTCAGTAGCTCTGCACGGTGTCCAGAACATTGAAAGGTAACGATGAAACTGGCAGCGCCTTAAATGTAGAGACTAACTGAACGACTGCATTCAAGCTGTTTGAATGGAATAGTAGAACAAGGTATGTTGAAGCTTGAATCAAAAGGCAGGACGATAAGATTTGATTGCTTAGGCATAGGGCCTTCTTCAACGAACAGGACACATGAAAATACCGTAGGTCACAGGAGAGTGATCTGTGTTTATTTGATAGCCTGATCTAATGAAGTTTTTCATCGTTTTGATTATAACTGTTTGTGGATCATCCAATTTTTTTCATTTAACTTTTCTGAATTACTCGAAAAAAATTATTTCCTATTGAAATTAAAATGGCTTTTATAAAAAAAAATTCTGATTGCTTTAACGTTACTGAGAATTTTCCCTTTTTCTTTACTTAATATAAATAAAAAAATATCGTTTGTCCCAATCGTAACAACTTTTAACAACGTTTTGGTTTCACAAAGATAATCTATCTTATCTTACTGTGAGCGATGATGAATACTTGTCGTCTCGATCTCATGTTTGTTATGAACAGAAAGCAATATATAGATTGTGATGAAATTAGGCTGGACTCTAAATTTTTCTATCCCCGCTGTGTAAACCTTTTATTTGTGTTAGTATGAGCTATTGCTGTCTTGGCATGCCTATTGCTGTCTTTGGAATACCTATTGCTGTCCTTGCCATACCTATTGCTGTCTTTGGCATACCTATTGCTGTCCTTGGCATACCTATTGCTGTCCTTGGCATACCCATTGCTGTCCTTGGCATACCTATTGTTGTCCTTGGCATACCTATTGCTGTCTTTGGTATACCTATTGCTGTCCTTGGCATACCTATTGCTGTCCTTGGCATACCTATTGCTGTCTTTGGCATACCTATTGAGAGCTTTGAACCGAGTTACAAGATTCGTCATGGTAATAACCCCCCCACCCCCCCCCCCCCCGATCGCTTAAACGATGCTTCTGGGTAGCCATCAGGGCTTGACATGTGAATAGTTCTTGAATTTGTGGAGTGAATATACATTTGTACAATTTTATTTAATTAATGCATGTTAATTTTTAAATTCATGATTATGTATGTTAAATTGTATGCAAAGCGTGGTGAGCTCAGCCCTAGGCTGGGGTACCGTGCTATATAAAACCAATACTAATAATAATAATAATATACGCTTTATCAATATGTATTATTTTATCATAATTTATTTGTGTTATCTTGACTGAGAAAATCATTTGCCTCGCGTCGGCGCTAGGAATACATGCATGCGATGGCAGTGGTAAGGATAAAAAATTGTTATCCATATCTCAGGTGTTCATCGTTCATGTGCAAGTTTAAGCCACCTTCAGTGCCTCAATCTGAATTCGATGTTGTTGAAAAGGGACATGCCAGCTTATGCCTGTCCACCCAGCGCTGCACATCCGCCTACCCAACCGTTAGCCGGCATCACCAGGGGCTGGAAGGTTTAAGGACTCCAAACCCAAATCATACGTCTGGGAATTATATTCCACAACTGACTGCTGGACCGCCGGGAAGTAATCCCCATAACATACTGCATGGAAGTTGACATCCGTCCCCACGTGAGAACATTCAAAGGCGAGGCTAGAAGGCATCCCTTCCAACATTGAAGTGAGCTCGTGTACTGATAGCTCAAACCAGATCATAAATAACTTCATGCTGATAAGATAAGTTGCAAACGGTCAGAACATTTTTGTCTTGTTGCAAAGCAAAAATTAATGATGAAATGTCGGGTTATTATGGCTGGCCGAGAGCCATAGTCTTCAGATACTAGATTGTAAAATTATATGCCAATTTGGATCTCAGCAACTAATTTTGTATACTTTAAAGACTTGGGATTTCTATGAAGTGTAGCCTTAAGGTAAATGAATAGGTTTGTTCAATTTTAATGAAATCGGTCGTGGACTTCTTTTTGAATTACAAATAAGTGATAAATATAAGTGATGAAAATAAGCGATAAATATAAGTGATAAATATAAGTGATGAGAATAAGCGATAATTAAAAGTGATAAATATAAGTGATGAAAATAAGCGATAAATAAAAGTGATTAACATACGTGATGAAAATAAGCGATAAATAAAAGTGATAAATATAAGTGATGAAAATAAGCGATAAATAAAAGTGATAAACATATGAAAATAAGCGATAATTAAAAGTGATAAATATAAGTGTTGAAAATAGGTGATAAATATAAGTGATGAAAATAAGCGATAAAGAAATGTGATAACTATTAGTGGATGTGAATGAAGATACGTTTTTTTGTGGATGATTTGAATCCAACAGCTCGCACCATCCCCAACGCCCCCCACAAACAACAATAAACAAACAAACAGACAAGCAAATAAACAAAGAGAAGCAAGTTATAACTAAAACAAGTCTTTTCACCACATAGGTTATGTACATGGGCGCCCGCAGGGGGCGGCAAGGGGGGCATTTGCCCCCCCCCTGGATTGATTGGATAAAAGATTTTTAGACAAAAATAGACAAAAAATGTATTAAAGTAAAGAGAAAATAAAGAGAAAGTAACTAAGCTGCTGTCCTGACCGTTCGTTCACCATACATATACGCTACAGTAAATTAAAACTACATTAAAACATTACTAAAAAAATTTAGTCCCCCCCCCGGAAAGTTAATCGATTTTTTGCCCCCCCCCCCTCCCTATGAAAGTTTTCTGCGGGCGCCCATGGTTATGTACCAAGTGCGTTATGTACCAAGGGCGTTGTGTACCAAGTGCGTTTTGTACCAAGTTCATTGTGTATCAAGTGCGTTATGTATTAAGTGATTTTATGTTATTAACGGGCCATATTTCCTGACTTTACTCTTTGTGGAAATATTAGTAAAAATAAAACACCAAATTTTCTTAATCTAATTTATTTGATCAAATGATCGCCAACACAGAGAAGAAATGATTAAATTAAATTTTCTGTTTTTGTTTTTTTTTTTTTTTTTTTTTGTGGGGGGGGGGGGGGGGGGGGGGGGGAGAGCACTACTCAAGACTTCCATATCAATTGAAGGAGTCCACATCATGATACTTATATTATAGTTGTTAACTCTAAATTCACCAGCTCAACACACTAACTAGAGATGACATCAGCTGGCAAATAGGTTTACAACTCATGCATAGGGAAGATAAGACGTTGAATTTAAAACCAAAATGGAATATAAACATTAAATTAATCATTAAATTGCTTTTATGAAATGAACACTATTTGAGGGAGAGAACCAAAAAAAAACAAAATCAACTAAACAATAATAATAGGATTGTTTCCCTTTTTGTTTTGTAATTAAACCTAAGAGTTATTTTTCATAAAGCTAATCATATTAAATGGCTGTAATATAATTTGAGGTAAGAAGGTTTTGATTTTTTAATTTATTCAGAAAATATTTTAAGTTTTTGCCCGAATAACAACCCCTTTTATTTTAATACGTATAAATTGTTCAGTGAAAATGCATTTGTAATCACAACGTACCAAAATGCCAATAACATATATTATCAGGCAGTAGTTTTGAGTAATTTGCAAAAAACGCGTTCATGATAGTTGTGTAGTTGTAGTTCTCAGAAGTAAACTACGATCCAAAAACAAAACAAAAACAAAAAAAAAGAACGCCATTATAAAAAAAAAATGTAAAAAGAAGAAATCAAATATTCCTTTCTTTATAAAGTTTTACGTTGGTGAGTTCTGGCATCTCGTGACATAAAGATTGCGCAAGATAACATAATGTGCCGGCGTCATCCCAAAAAAGTAAAAATATTGTTTTTTAATCTAAATCCGTTAGTTCCCTAATTTCAAAATTTTCAAATTGTGACAGAAAGTTATTTTCTTTATAACAAAGAATCGCTTTAAATTTACTGTTTGTTATAAGCCATTTTCCACCACTAATTTCTTGCTAAGGCTTGTGCTATCTTATGTACGGCAGTAGTTTTGGAAATAGTGGAACAAGGTATGTGGAAGTTTTAAATTGAAATTGAAATTTCTATTTCTTGTCCCTTCGTCATTTATTCTTTAAGCTGACGAATGCTTAGCCGAAATGTTCTCATTGTATTGTCCTTTCTTTCTGTTTCAAGCTTTCACATACCTCGTTCCACTATTCCCTTCACATCGCTTGAACGCAGTGCAACATTTATTATCCATTCATATTTGCTATGTTCTGTTTCCAAATATTTAAAAGGAGAAACCTCTCTCTTTCATGAACTCCAATGCTTTCACTTCTATTTTAGATTTCTTTGTATCCGAGGTACGTCTCCGAGGTCTTGCATGCAATGCTTCTTTTTTTTCAACTATAGCGTCCACGTCGATGACCTTTTCACTCTTCAGCATGGGACTGAGCTTTTGTTCTAGAAAAACATAGCGCGGGTCGCTGGTGAGGCTTTCTATGCGCTGTCCATATTTGCTGACTGGCTTTTCCCGACTCAACCAAGAAGGACCGGAAGTTGTAATGGAGGATACACTTCCTGTGACCGCGTTAGACGGGGTCAGGGACGAAATCCACAGAGCAGGCTTGGACGCCCGGGGTGACTCTGAGCTCCATAGAGAAGCTGATGTTTGGGATTGCAGCGTTGTCTCTGATATTCTCCTGTTAACTGCCGTTTTTGATAACCTTGATTGGGGCAGGCCACTGGCAACGGCAGGTTTCATGGAATTAGCTGTAAGACTATTCCTTTTGGAGGAGAAATGTAAGTTATCCAAAGACTGTGCCGTCTCCTTCATCCCATTCGATACCTGTCCTAGACGCACGCCAGGAAAGTCGTTTACAACTGACACAGTGTTCAGTTCATACGTTTTTGTTTGAGATGCGCTAATATTTTCATTTGCTATGTTTGGTTCATTTTCTAGAACAAATTTAACGCTGGGATTCAGTGTGCCATCGACACTGCTGGAACTACCTGGTAACACGTTGGCCGGTTGTGGCTTCTCCGTGTAAGCTGAGCGTGTGATTGACGAAGAGTTCTTTGATGTTCTCCGATTTGACGAGTGAAGGCGAATTCCCGCTTCGGTAGGGGCGGAGAAAATGTGTCTGAGCGCCGGCTTCTTCTGTTGCCTGTCTTCGAAAATTTTCTTTTCGTAAGCGTTCTGGATCAGAAACTTGTAGCGCTCTTTAGAAAGCTCGAGAAGCTTCGCTTTCAGCATGCGCTCTTCCGTGACGTTGTCTGCCAGCTGACCCGAGTTCCTCGTCACATCCGGTGTTAGAGAGTACTCGTTGTTGTTGCGCACCCAAGCTTGGATTTCTTTCATGGCACTTGTTCGGTTTTTGATGAATTTCGACTTCATCCCTGACGGAGCACTTCTAGGTTTGAGGGATGTCATTTTCAGTTTTGATGTTATAGATCTACGTTGACGTATTAACAGGTACGAAGAGTATCAGGTTTAATTGTTTTTGTCTTTGAAAAGCAAAGCTGCTCGTTCGATCTCATTTGAAGTTAAAATTATATATAGTTCATAAGTCATTTTGAACAACTGTCTTATCTGACGGCTGATGAAATTTTAAGCCAATGCATGGCGGAGATCGTCTTTTTCTGAGTCATCACAGCTGTAGATACATCAAGGGAATGTTATATGTTTTTCATCGTACATTAATAATAATTTTGACACGAAATTAAAGAATAGTTTTACATATAACTATAGAGTAACATGCCAAATCTATGGTTACATATAAAGAAAGGAAAATATTTTTTCTTAGCATACACGGGCTTTAAGGAAGATAAATATTACTATTGATGGTAACTTACATCTCCAAAAGACTTCAGGGAAAAGATGTGTTGTTTTTCCTCTTTTTTTTGTTCGAGTAAACACAGTCGACGTATGAATTTAAATAACCGACATGTGCATATGTCACTAATATAATTGTATTGCAAGGCTACCACATTCTATTAGGGCCAAAGATGTGTATATGTCACCTATATAATTGTATTGCAAGGCTACCACAATCCATTATGGCCAAAGGTGTGTCTATGTCACTGATATAATTGCATTATAAGGCTAACACATTCCATTAGGGCCAAAGATGTGTCTATGTCACTGATATCATTGTATTGTAAGGCTATCACATTCCATTAGGGCCAAAGATGTGTCTATGTCACTGATATCATTGTATTGTAAGGCTATCACATTCCATTAGGGCCAAAGATGTGTCTATGTCACTGATATCATTGTATTGTAAGGCTATCACATTCCATTAGGGCCAAAGATGTGTCTATGTCACTGATATCATTGTATTGTAAGGCTATCACATTCCATTAGGGCCAAAGATGTGTCTATGTCACTGATATAATTTCATTGTAAGGCTACCACATTCCATTAGGGCCAAAGATGTGTCTATGTCACTGATATCATTGTATTGTGAGGCTATCACATTCCATTAGGGCCAAAGATGTGTCTATGTCACTGATATAATTGTATTGCATGGCTACCACATTCCATTTGGGCCAAAGATGTGTCTATGTCACTGATATAATTGTATTGCATGGCTACCACATTCCATTAGGGCAAAGGGACTGACATTTGATCAATAAGTTATCTATTGTAAATCATTAAATGGCGCCATTGATTACTGTCGTGACGGGACACACATACACAAGATCGTGTTTTTGGCCCTGCCAGCTAACCATGACCGGTCTTATAACTAACCCCTAGCTGACTTACGAAAGTAAAGTAAAACACCTATAGGATTCAGTACTGGAAAGACTGCTGAAGTCCCAAGACCATTTTAAATATAAACAATGGTACGAGTTTAAAACGACGTCCAACTGCTTATGGGAATAGTTGTCGTTGCTAAGAGAAGGCCCCTTTTCAGAAATAAGTGTGCTAAATAAATGTTAGAAATAATTACTTAAGTTTTACTAGAAGGTATCGGTTAAGTAATCTTGAAGAAAAACATAAGGGAACAATTTAACCTCAAAATTGATGCATTTGAGAAATTCATATATTGAAGAAATTGATCCATTGAAGAAATTGAAATTTTTTAAAAGAAATTGATACATTGAAGGAATTGATATATTGGAGCAACTAATATATGAAGAAATTGATACATTTAAGAAATTGATTTATTGAAAAAAATTGATAATTTAACAAATTTTTTTTTTCGTCAAAGAAAGAAAAAAACATTACGGAAACTCAAACAAATTCAGATTTTGAATCAATACAATAACGTCAATAACGAATCTACTAGCTCGTTATAAGACGTGCGTGAAGATGTCATCTTTTCACACAGTGGCGACCTATTAATAAAGTTGGTCAATAATTGGGTTTTAATGACAATAACTTGGTGTGTACTCTTCTAAGCCCAAAGACTAATCTACTATCTGGTTATAAGACGTGCGTGTAGATGTGATCTTTTGACACAGTGGAGATAATTGGTCAATAATTTTTTTTTAATGACATTCACTTGGTGTGTACTCCTCTAGGCGCCTAATGATTAACATTTCTTGCAAGCTGGTTGTGTTAATTTATGAGGGGAAGAAAATTAACAGAAAAATGATAACCAAAAATATTCAAACATCCACGAAATATCTTGTATAATTTCACTAAAATAACGCACAATATTATATCGAAACGATTGCGACCAGTTAGTGCAGCTACAAACTAAAAAAAAATCACGATAAATCTGTTCATCCGTTATGTGTCTGACGATAAATCTGTTCATACGTTATGTGTCTGACGATAAATCTGTTCATACGTTATGTGTCTGACGATAAATCTGTTCATCCGTTATGTGTCTGACGATAAATCTGTTCATACGTTATGTGTCTGACGATAAATCTGTTCATCCGTTATGTGTCTGACGATAAATCTGTTCATACGTTATGTGTCTGACGATAAATCTGTTCATACGTTATGTGTCTGACGATAAATCTGTTCATTACGTTATGTGTCTGACGATAAATCTGTTCATCCGTTATGTGTCTGACGATAAATCTGTGCACCTGAAACAATTGAGTTACGCCCATGGTGCAGAAAACGGCAACTCAGTTTATAATTTTCAAAGTCCAGCTACTTACCAAGTCCTTAATAAGGTTCCATGTCTTAACCACATGCTCGGAAGAATCAGCTCTAGCAACACACCATCAACACGTCAGTGTGGTCTGTGATTAGTTCAAACCTACAACCCCGCACTTGGCCCTCTGTGCCATGAACAACGTTTTGTCGGTAATCAGAAAGACAGGAATTAAAGCAGAACGAGCCATGATCCCGGAATTAGCTACTAATCTCCTAATCCGCCCTTGGAGCCCCAGACATCGCTTATCAGCCCTGAACAACTTGGTTGGCCAAGCAAGATAATTTAATTGCACTTCTTAGCCGAACCCACCCCCAACCTCCCACCTCACCCCACCCATTCGGACCACTTGATACAGTTGAACGTATTGATTCAACCGTCAGAAGTAATTAGGGCTTTGTGGGTTGGCAAAATAATTTAGGGCCCAAAATCATTGGTTTGACATACACCTTTTGACTCTTTGGCATTTCTTTTTTTTAGATTGTATAGACATGAACTTATTGAGAGAAAAGTCATTATCTTAATTACTTTATTATTATTATTAGTGGTGGTTTCATATAGCGCGGTGCCCCAGGCTCGGGCAGGGCTCACCACGCTGTACATACAATTTAACGAACGTAATCATGAACTTAAAAATTAACATACAGTCATTAACTAAAACAAAACAAATGTATATTCACTCCGCACATTCGAGAACTATTGACGTGTCAAGCCCTGGGCGGCTACCCAGCAGCATCGTTTAAGCGATCAGAGGGTGGGGGAGGGGGGGAGGGAGGGATCAGTCAGAATAGTAAAGTTTAAAAAGATTTGTTTGGGTGCAGTTTTGAAGGCTGTGATGGTCGGAAGAGAATTCCATTGTTTTGGGGGCACAGAAAGAGGAGAACGATCGTTTGCCGTATGTTTTAGTGCGAGTCTTGGGGACAGAAATAATACGCGAGTCTGCGGAGGAGCGAAGCTGTCGAAGCGGTGAATAGACAGAGAGAAGTTCGTTTGGAGTGGAAGGGGAGGAATTCGAGAGAAGGTTTTGGGAGAGACCAGAGAGTGTGTAGACAATTCATGCTTGTACAGTGAGCCAATGATGCAAATGAAGTAGTGGTGTGCAATGGTACCTCTAAGGTTTGTTGGTTCGTGTGCGAAATCATAAAGTTGTGTGTAGATTTTTACAGCATCAATTTTTTTGTTCGCAAAATGTTCAGCCTACAGACACTTAAGTGGAAATTAGCTGCGCGGTACTCAAAACTGCTGCGTGGCGTCTGTGAGATTGCTGCGCGACCGCCCAGCCGCGCAGCTTAAAGGGAACATTGGTGGTGTGACGTGATCACGTTTTTTTTTTTGTCTTTAGAATTAGCCTAGCAGCTTAGTTTTGAACCTTTTGTAATTTTTCTAAGACGTGTTTTGGTGAACCTTATGAAAGAGAGTTACAATAGTAAAGACTAGAGAGAACTAGCGCACTGACTAGGTTTTTTTTTTTCGCTAACTGTGAGGTAGTGGCGGATAGAGCTTATCTGACGAATAGAGGTGTATGCAGAGCGACAAATGTGAGAGATGTGATTATCGAGAGACATGTTGTTAGACAGAATATAACCAAGATTCATAGCGGAGAATTTAGCTGTATATAGGAGTTACCTACATGAAATGAAGTGGGGAGAACTGAGTTGGAGGATGATTTGTGATTGTGAATAAGGAGTGCTTGTATTTCGTCATCATTAAGCTTCAACTTGATGAGTGTCTTCCATGACTTGACATCACAAAGGCCTCCCACAAAGTCCAGACAGCAGAATAGACAAGAGATATGTTAACTATAAACGTATGTTAAAGTTAATTATAAGCCTTGACATTTAAAAAGAAAAGCGCTGAGCGAATAAAAAATTATACTTTGCCCTAAAGTGCGAAATGAAATCATGATTCAAACTTTATATTTGTTTTGGAAGAGTTGAAGTCTTAAATAAGTAAGTTATGGAGATTTAATCCCAAGTCACATCTAGAAAATCTACACTAAAAGAATTAATTAACTGACGCTATATTTACCGCACGAAGCCATTGATATGGCGAGCAATGCAAACACACAATGGAACTGATTGGTAGAGTCAAGTTGGCCGCACCTGTCTAAGCTAATCGATAAACGTGTTATTGAACAATCTATTGATTCTAGGATACTTGTAGTCCGGGGATCAAATTAATTCACCTCATTTATAAAAAAAATAAAAAATATAAATTATCATAAATTGGAATTAAGCTTATTGAATCGACCCTTTTATAAATCTGTGCTCATTGCAGGTCAATCACGAATGTAACTAAAATAAACACACAAAAAAATTACCTGTATAATACTATGGCTTTTAAAGGTTTGAGCACGGGAAACGTTACCAATGGTGAAACAAGAATTCGACCGACGAATGTAACAAATATTTGAAAGGTAGAATTTAACACAGCTGAATTTAACAGGTGCTAAGTAAACAATAATAATTGTGCTTTCAGAAACACATTTGTGGGCAGTCTTGTGTGAGCAGCCATTGGTGCATTAAAAGCAAGCACCTACCACGACGATGGGCACGGATCAAAAGTGTTGGAAGACAAGGACGCTGAACATAATACCACCATATTTTAAAATTACCAGTATACCATGTTTCTAAATGGTAAAAAAACAACAACTTCTAGTGCATTATCAACATCAACGTGCATATCAATGAAGGGGGCCTGTCAAAAAAAAAAATATCTAAGTAACAGTTAAAAAATAAAATATTCCCTTATTAAAACAAAAAAAACCAGATTGATAATACATATTTTAAACATTGATTTAGGAAAGCTCATCCTATTCCAGTTAATAGTCAAACTTAGCACAGCAAAAACACAAAAGTAAAAGACACATCTGTTTTTTTAAAAGTATATCTAATTTTAAAAAAAAAATATATATATTTACAATGCCAATTTCATGGCTGATTATCAAATAAAAAAATAAAAAAAATAAATAAAATAAAACCTATTCCAAACTTAGCCATTTTAGTTACCGCTAAGAATAGGGGCTCTATAAAAATCGTTCAGGTAATGAATCTTTTCAATGTATTCAATAGAAATCTTAAGGATTTTGCAAAGATGATACCTTTAAAATTGTCACTACACCGGCCTCCAGCGCAAAAAGAACTAAGTCTTGATATTTTACCACAGAGATTATTTTAAGGTTCGATTACGAGCAAAAATAATTTTATAAAATTTTAATATTAGAATCGCTTGAAAAACGCGAAAGATCAATAGTTTTATTGCCCGCCTCCCCCCCCCCCCCGCCCGTTTGTGGATATTATTAGCTTGAAATCCATTGCTATTTTAAGAGGTATTATAAAAGATATGTTTACCGAGTTTGCCCAAAGTGCAACAATATGCGTAGAAGCTTGCATTGTAACCGAATCCTTCTGGTATAGTTTTGGCTTTTGTAAGGAAAATACACCGTAGGGCCTCAGCTTTTAAGGAACGTACACCTTATCAATAATTCAACACACTAAGGTAAATCTATTATGGACTAAAAGTATTCAGTAAGTAGCAAAGTGTGCCACTGAGCCATTGTTATACGCATCAAATGCACACTCCCCTTTAGTGACGTCACAATACTCATTAGGGGCGCAAATCACAAACCTAGGAGTGTCCCTTCCAATACAGATCTACTATATAAAGGTGCTTATCATAAAACTGACTTAAATTTTTGTGGCTGTGAAATAAAGGGAACTAATTAGCGACAACGTATTTCATATGTAAGTTACGTCCCTTTGAATCTCTAGCTTGGTAACCTATACACATTTTTTTTTCATGAAATAACCAAATTAAACCTGTAACACACAATGGCTTCATATAGCTTATTTTCACAACTTCTAGGAAGCTAAAAAAAACAAAAAACAACACAACTATAGACTACTAAATGTTGTTAACTTTGTGATTTGAACTGTGAAGATGTTACTTGAAAGTGCACGAGATTATACTCATTGAATAAGACTTAAAACATGAGTCTGTTTAAACCATGCCGAAAGTATGTGTAAACCATGACAAAAGTATGTGTAAACCATGACAAACGTATGTGTAAACCAAGACAAAAGTATGACTAGGCGATGAAAACAGACTGTCTAACCCATAACAAAAGTCTGTCTAGACCATGACAAACTTTTGTCTTACCCATTGTCATAAAAAAATTGTCACCTATTTAACTATTTCACGTAAGAAAAGTTTGGGTGCAAATCAGTCATTTAAAAAAAAAACCATTGGATAGTAGGTCATGACACCTGGTTTGGCAGTGTGAGCGAATGTATCATTATCTATCGGGACTGTGTAACAGGGGGGGGGGTGGAACGTGTGGTCCCTGTGACGTAATGGCAGATCAACAAATAGGTTAACTTTTACAGTTTTGTTTATCGGCAGACCTGCATCAGTGTGGGTCCTAATAGAGACAGGATTGTGATCATGCCTGGGGAAACACGGGACTATTGTAGCAGCTCTGTGAGACTGATAATGTCTGGGGAAACACGGGACTATTGTAGCAGCTCTGTGAGAATGATCATGTCTGGGGAAACACGGGACTATTGTAGAAGCTCTGTGAGAATGATCATGTCTGGGGAAACACGGGACTATTGTAGCAGCTCTGTGAGAATGATCATGTCTGGGGAAACACGGGACTATTGTAGAAGCTCTGTAAGAATGATCATGTCTGGGGAAACACGGGACTATTGTAGCAGCTCTGTGAGAATGATCATGTCTGGGGAAACACGGGACTATTGTAGAAGCTCTGTGAGAATGATCATGTCTGGGGAGACACGGGACTATTGTAGCAGCTCTGTGAGAATGATCATGTCTGGGGAAACACGGGACTATTGTAGAAGCTCTGTGAGAATGATCATGTCTGGCGAAACACGGGACTATTATAGCAGCTCTGTGAGAATGATCATGTCTGGGGAAACACGGGACTATTGTAGAAGCTCTGTGAGAATGATCATGTCTGGGGAAACACGGCACTATTGTAGCAGCTCTGTGAGAATGATCATGTCTGGGGAAACACGGGACTATTGTAGCAGCTCTGTGAGAATGATCATGCCTGGGGAAACAAGGGACTATTGTAGAAGCTATGTGAGATTGATCATGTCTGGGGAAACACGGGACTATTGTAGAAGCTCTGTGAGAATGATCATGTCTGGGGAAACACGGGACTATTGTAGAAGCTCTGTGAGAATGATCATGTCTGGGGAAACACGGGACTATTATAGCAGCTCTGTGAGAATGATCATGTCTGGGGAAACACGGGACTATTGTAGAAGCTCTGTGAGAATGATCATGTCTGGGGAAACACGGGACTATTGTAGCAGCTCTGTGAGAATGATCATGTCTGGGGAAACACGGGACTATTGTAGAAGCTCTGTGAGAATGATCATGTCTGGGGAAACACGGGACTATTGTAGAAGCTCTGTGAGAATGATCATGTCTGGGGAAACACGGGACTATTGTAGAAGCTCTGTGAGAATGATCATGTCTGGGGAAACACGGGACTATTGTAGAAGCTCTGTGAGAATGATCATGTCTGGGGAAACACGGGACTATTGTAGAAGCTCTGTGAGAATGATCATGTCTGGGGAAACACGGGACTATTGTAGAAGCTCTGTGAGAATGATCATGTCTGGGGAAACACGGGACTATTGTAGAAGCTCTGTGAGAATGATCATGTCTGGGGAAACACGGGACTATTGTAGAAGCTCTGTGAGAATGATCATGTCTGGGGAAACACGGGACTATTGTAGAAGCTCTGTGAGAATGATCATGTCTGGGGAAACACGGGACTATTGTAGAAGCTCTGTGAGAATGATCATGTCTGGGGAAACACGGGACTATTGTAGAAGCTCTGTGAGAATGATCATGTCTGGGGAAACACGGGACTATTGTAGAAGCTCTGTGAGAATGATCATGTCTGGGGAAACACGGGACTATTGTAGAAGCTCTGTGAGAATGATCATGTCTGGGGAAACACGGGACTATTGTAGAAGCTCTGTGAGAATGATCATGTCTGGGGAAACACGGGACTATTGTAGAAGCTCTGTGAGAATGATCATGTCTGGGGAAACACGGGACTATTGTAGCAGCTCTGTGAGAATGATCATGTCTGGGGAAACACGGGACTATTGTAGAAGCTCTGTGAGAATGATCATGTCTGGGGAAACACGGGACTATTGTAGAAGCTCTGTGAGAATGATCATGTCTGGGGAAACACGGGACTATTGTAGCAGCTCTGTGAGAATGATCATGTCTGGGGAAACACGGGACTATTGAAGAAGCTCTGTGAGAATGATCATGTCTGGGGAAACACGGGACTATTGAAGAAGCTCTGTGAAAACTGCGTTTTCCTTTTGAAAGGTGAAAGTAAATGTAAAGTAATAAGGCGAGAATTGTTACTTCTTAGCATGTTTTATAGGTTACCTGACGTATGGTGTCATGAGCTGTATCAGTTCTTTTGAGAACATTCTGGAATCATTTATGTGGCTTGAATGTAACACATGCACTTTTATTTTAGTGGCTTGAAAATAGCACATACACTTTTATTCTAGTGGCTTGAATGTATCACATACACTTTTATGTTAGTAGCTTGAATGTAACATATACACTTTTATTTGAGTGGCTTGAATGTAGAATATACACTTTTATTTGAGTGGTTTGAATGTAGAACATACACTTTTATTTTAGTGCCTTGAATGTAGCACATTCACTTTGATTTTAGTTGCTTGAATGAAGCTCATACACTTTTACTTTAGTGGGTTGAATGTAGCACATTCACTTTGATTTTAGTTGCTTGAATGAAGCTCATACACTTTTACTTTAGTGGGTTGAATGTAGCACATTCACTTTGATTTTAGTTGCTTGAATGAAGCTCATACACTTTTACTTTAGTGGGTTGAATGTAGCACATTCACTTTGATTTTAGTTGCTTGAATGAAGCTCATACACTTTTACTTTAGTGGGTTGAATGTAGCACATTCACTTTGATTTTAGTTGCTTGAATGAAGCTCATACACTTTTACTTTAGTGGGTTGAATGTAGCACATTCACTTTGATTTTAGTTGCTTGAATGAAGCTCATACACTTTTACTTTAGTGGGTTGAATGTAGCACATTCACTTTGATTTCAGTTGCTTGAATGAAGCTCATACACTTTTACTTTAGTTGCTTGATTGTCGCACCTACAATTTTATTTTGTGGCTTGAATTTAGCACACACACTTTTATTTTGGTGGCTTCAGTGTAGCACATACAATATTTTTAGTAGCTTGGATGTAGCACGTACACTTTTTTTAGGGGCTTGATTGTAGCACATACACTTTTATTTTACATAGTTTGCCATGAATGTCTCCATCATTACATTACGTAGTGGACAGAATAAAAAGCTTTAGTAAGAAAGTATCTTTATTATTTTCTTCTAACCTCAACCTTTAAGTAAAGGGCCCTTCTAGTATTTACAACTTTGACTAGTTAAATAAATTACTGATATTTTTTTTTACTCCCTATGAAAAATAAAGTATACTCACAGAACACCGTTTTTATGTTTTATTAAAAAAATATTTTTTACAATTTTTTTGGGTCCATTTCTATATTAGTTCATGTATTGATACATTTTGAATTAATTAAAAATAAAAGCCATTTCAAACTATTTTATGCACACGGGTGCATATATTTAGAACCGCTGGAGAGAACAAAAAAAAATATGACTAACTTAACGGAGGACAGCTTAGAAATAAATCCACATAATGTGTATGAATGGTTAGATTATTGATCACATCTAAATATGTCACTCGGTTGAACGCGTCTCGCCGTAACGTAGTCATTGTTTGTATAAAATGAACCCTTTGTCTGCTTACATTTGGTCCCATAGCGTTGTGTTGTGTTCTACATTCAGACAACAGTTCGCAGAATGTCAGAATAAGATACACAACTAACTACAAGAACATACTTTAAATTTGTGGATTAGATAATTTGTTAATTTTTTATTATCATAATTTTTTTATTTACATTGTACTTATGTTCAAGTTAAAGAAGTCACATGCACTGAAACATGTCAATAACTTCATTTCATCAATTAAATTATTCTTTTTTTTTAAATTGAAAAATTAATAAAAGCAAACTTTATTCTCGAGTGCCATGCACATATTTGTTTTCCTTAATTATTAAAACTTGATTGTATTCATTTTATTGTATTATTTCATAACTATCTTTAATATAGTTACCATTAAAGTATGTGGCATTGCCCGCCATCAGTTTCCATATAATAAGAAACGGGGTCACGACTTATAGTTTAGCGGGCTTAGGACATTAATGTTAACCTAATAATTGAGATTTTTTGGAGACATTTGTTAACAAATGCAAATTAGCCAGACGATCTCAAGCGGTGACGCGGTGTCTGGAAGATTAACGATTTTTTTGCCCCCCCCCCCCCCCCCCCCCCCCCCCCCCCCCCTTGGAGACATTTGTTAACAAATGCAAATTAGCCAGACGATCTCAAGCGGTGACGCGGTGTCTGGAAGATTAACGATTTTTTTGCCCCCCCCCCCGCCCCCGCCCACCCACCCACAACACACTGGGCACTCGGTGGCGCTTGATCGCTTCCGGCCACAAGCTGTTAAGTTGCTCCTATGTTAACTCGTCTGTGATATCTACAACACAGGTAAGCTGATCGTTTTTGGGCTGGGGTACCACGCTAAATAATACCACTGTAATAGTTAAGATAATAATTGTATTGACATTATTCACAATGAGCACCGTATAACATGTCATAAGGGGGATAATAGTTAGCGTTTTTTTTATAAAATAGGTTTTACCTCTTGTTTAGCGACTTCCACTCATCTCTATGTTATATGATCCGTGATGTTTCTTAATAACACAAATAATAACATGGTTTTGATTAGATTGAACTATATATATTTTAAGTCTGTTTATAATTTTGGCCCTGCCGTCAGTTATTCATTTTTTATAAAACACAATTTAAGTAACTATACACAAAAAACTATAGATTACCTTATAAACATTAACATAAAGGATAAATATTCAAATAAATTTATTTAACAGTTGAAGAAATCGTCACATATTTAAAATCGTATCCTGAAATTTGTTTGAAAGAAATTTCGTCGACGGAAGATTGGTCGAATCTTTTTTTTTCACGTTTCACGTTAAAATTTTGCATCAAATTTCTTCTTGAGCGCATCATTTTCTTTTACTATATAGCACACCGCGTTCAAAAAGAAATTTGACGAACATTTGATCGTAGGAACTGAAACAAAATTTAGACTAAAATTCCGTTCGATCAAATTTCCGCCGATCAATTTTCCGTCAACAAAATTTCTTTCAAACAAATTTCCGGTAAACCTTTAAAATAGTAAAAGCGTACGCATAAATGTCGTCCAATAGGACTGGGTCTGTTACAAAAGAAAACAGTTTTACATTATAAAAAAACAAAAACTTTTTATAGTTAATAAACATTTTTTGCTATATACTTCATAAGGCATTAAAACGGCTGGCTGCAGCTTTTATTATTGCTCACGGTGGTGCAAAAGTCTTATTTGAAAATTGTTTCTATTAATTAATATCCTTATTTTTTTCCATTTCTTAAGTGTGCTCAAGAAGATTCAAACTCTTTGCACTTGTGAATTGTGTGACGTCGTGGGTCCTGTAATTCTCCCCCGGACACCTACCATGTCCGTCAGGTCACACAGCCCTGGAAGAGACTCGTCGAACGGAAGTAGTCCAGGCCTTCAGGCTGTTTCCGGAATCAGCAGGACACGTGGGCTTCCGGAAGAGTGGACGCTGCCACAGGAGTGGAACATAGAGAAAAGGGAACCTTTTGATGTGAGTATAGAGAATACGGAACCATTTTGATCTGCGTGTAGAGAGCGGGGAACATCTTCATGTAAGTATGGAGAATACGGAACCTTTTGAAGTGAGTGAGTCATTGACGTGGAAATGATGTGGAGATTTTATTCCCTCAATGAACCCCTCACCAAGTGCTGTTCGGTCAATGATAAATGTAAATCAGCGGTTCTCAACATGTGGGTCCCGACCCCTTTGGGGGGTCGAACGAAGCTTTCCCAGGGGTCGCCGAAGACCATCAGAAAACCCATATTCTGTACAGTTATGAAGCAGCAACGAAAATAATGTTGTAGCTGGTGGTCGCCAAAACACGAGGCACTGTACTTAAGGATCGCGGCAGTAGAAAGGTTGAGAACCACTGATGTAAATGATAAACGTAATGTCCCTAAAACATAAATGTAGGGGTAACATTAAAAAAAAAAGTGTTGAGATGAAAAGATCATTCAATGACTTACGTTACGTAAATCACATTGCAAAAACTGCTTGAATTTTTTTTATCTGGTATTGCTTAACAAAGTTTATTATCTGGTATAGCTTAACAAAGTTTATTATCTGGTATAGCTTAACAAAGTTTATTATCCGGTATAGCTTAACAAAGTTTATTATCTGGTATTGCTTAACAAAGTTTATTATCTGGTATAGCTTAACAAAGTTTATTATCACTTTGAGCAATGCGAGTATTAAAATGTCATAAGTCAGAGATACATTTTGTAAATGTAATAAATCAAAGATAACTATTAAAATGTCAATAAATCAAAGATACCTATTAAAATGTCAATAAATCAAAGATACCTATTAAAATGTCAATAAATCAAAGATACCTATTAAAATGTCATAAATCAAAACAAAAACACAGGAGTTCAAAAATGAATTTTGCGAAGATCCCCCAAATGATGAATGAGTCAATGGGGGGGGGGTACCAGGGTCAGGGGGGCACATAAGTGGGTTAGTGCCCATAGACGGGTTAGGGACACATAGTTTGTTTAAAGGGCATAAAGTTAAATATACATATAAAAGAGTATAATAGTTGGGTCTGGAAAGATTTACATGTGTTAAGAGACAGAAGCTTGGTTCAGGAGGGAAATACATTGGTATTGTCACGGTCAGATCGCGTGAGTTCTCTGGATCAGCTAATTTGACCAATCGTGGGTGAGTTTCTTTTTCCCGTGTGCCACACGAGTTTTATTTTTCTCGGTCAGGTGTGCCCGGTGTGCTGTGTCGGGAGTAACCACGTGATGATAGGAGTGTCTAAAAAGGGGAGATGAGTTTCAGAGAGCGTGACAGTGGCGAACGCGATGGATTGGATGTGAGGACCTTAGTTTATTGAGGGAGATTTTTCTATGGATGGCAGAGGACTTCTGTAACTATATTTTTTATATTATGTGCAGCTTTTTTTCTGGACACAAATTTTGTATTCTGAAAACAAGCGGATGTTTACTATGCATTTGTCCACTGTCAGGAAGATGGAGGCAATAAATCATATGAACCCTGAAGCCTTGCATCGTTGGTTTTAATAAATACTTGGACTATTCAGCACAGCAGCTCTGTAGGGGCTAGACAACAGGGGTTCTAGACCCTTGAAAATTGTTCTGTGGCTAGTACGCAGGGGACTGACCCCTAGACAACGTACGTCACGCCAAGTAGCGGTGGGTCAAAGTGCACTCTTCTGGGTCAAAGGTCACATTAGGTGGGTCAAAGGGCACATAGTTGGGTCACGTGTTATATTGAAACGTATGAGCCTTGACTCCGTTACGGAGCAGTCAAGACGGACTTAATTAATGTCTGCATTGAGAAGGTTCCAATGGTAGCCTGGGAAAGTAGCGTGAATATTCAAAACTTCTTCAGTGTGTTTGTAATGTTGAGACGCAAGTGCACCGTATGAAGACGTACACCCCCGCCCCCAAAGTAGTAATCAATAAATCCTAACCAAGACGCTGGGTGCGATTGCCACAGTTAAAGAAATTTAGTTTTTTTTCTTTTTTTTTTTGAAATTCTTCAAGCCTTGATATCACAAAATTATCCTTTTCTATATAAATAACAAGTTTTAATTGTTTCATTCTTGACCACAATGAATGAGGTGGACTGTCATATTAAGAGGTGTTAACTATATTAGCTATTAACTTATCCTTTTTCATTTTAAGAAGCGACATTACTTAAATACAAGAGAGTGGCACTGTTAAGCCAGCACAGTGAACGTCTATCCGGTAACCTACCACCAGAAATGACCCACCAGAAATGACCCACCAGAAATGACCCACCAGAAATGACCCACCAGAAATGACCCACCAGAAATGACCCACCAGAAATGACCCACCAGAAATGACCCATTTTATGTTCATTTCATGGAATAAAAACAAAACAACTACATTTGTATTCTTTTAACTCTCTTCAGCTTTTGCCGTCATCGTTCTTCAGTTTTGATCATAAGTTAATTAAGTGCTTCATAGTCATTGTATGTATTTTGGTTTCAATTTTGTTAGTTAGTCCTGTCTAATCGAGTGTATACATAATAATTATAGAGATTTTACTCAATGATGTAATGAAATCAGTTGGGAGTTGGGAGTTAGAAGAAAACCCCATATTTTAACATCCAATTATATAGTGTATGAAGGGAGATAACCAAGGTAATAAGTAGACTGTTTTATTCCGACCTAATGATCGACTCTTGCTTAATATCTGGTTGTTGGTGAATTTTCATTAAATGACATATCATATCTGCAAGGCATGATTACACATGCCACCAAGGCATTCTAGTTTCAAAAAAGGTTACACATATTATTAGAAAAAAGCAAAAAAAAGTTGTTTGTTTCCTCACAAAGTCTGGTTTTCCAGTGGTTAAACACTCACTTCCAGGAAATTTTACAACTTCCGCAATTGAACATGTGATCGATAAACTTTCCTTGACTTATTTTGGACAGAATTGGAAAAAAGATGTACAGAGCCAAATCACTAATATCTCAAGATCTGTAGTAAGTTTGTTTGTTGTTTTTTTTTTATTAATAAGAGGGGAGTTTTATTTTAATTTTGTTAAAAAAAAAAGTGTTCTTCTAAATCTGTTAAGATTAATCTCTTGACTAACGTGTGAAGTTTTGAGTCATCAATTTTAATTTTACCTGCTTCTTGACAGGTTAAAATCAGACGCTACGATACCACAATATAATTTATCACGGAGTCTACCTTCATAAACTAAAATATGATAGAAACGAATTTTGAGACACAGAATAGGGAAAACTAAGTTTTCATATTTTAATTTTGTTAGGTGAAATTAATTTTTAAAATACCTAGTCTAATCTCTGCTGGTTGCTTTATTTGAATATGAACTGTTTTAGGGTACTTTTTAAAATACTTTTTGGCATTGGAAAAAAAATTACAGTTTATAGTTTATAATTTTCACAAAAACCAGTAAGCTATTTCCCAAGAAAATGTTTGTTTGTTCTCAGAAAGTCTCAGAAATGCATTGAGACAATTAAAAATTATTTTACCTTTTTTTCGACGGAAGCAATATTGTTTCAGGCTAATGAATTATTATTCAAATAAATATTGAATAAGCACATGTTTATGCACAATGAATATTACAAAAGACAAATTTTATTTTTACAACCCTTTTAACTTTTTAGAAATAGGAGTAACGCTAGCAAAATTTAATGCATTTTATATAAATTTTAAAAAAAAACTTTATTAATATTAATTTTATTCATATTTCCTATAGATTTTAGGGATAAGATGGGTCCGCTAGTAATTAACTTGATGTTGGCTTTTGTAGTCTCTGCTTTGATCTGCGCTGTTTCGACTAATTTTAAATTTAACATTTAAAGTTGTTTTTTTTTTTAAATTTCTCACGCACACATCATCTTACTTCTTAAAATTAATTGCATGTGAAACAGACTCGCTCTCTTGAAATGTATCCTCACCCGGATGTTGGCTCAGGGCTATCCAGTGGATACCGCCATCACAATGGCAGCAAGACAGGCGCTCCCTACAGCTACTAAGAATAAGCTTGAACAATATATTATGACTTGATGTTGAAAGCAAGTGAGCGCTCAAGTAAACATTGAGCAACGACAACTGGTTGCATGAGGTGCATGGAGTTCATTCTTGATATAACGTCTCTCAATGGTGAATAATTTAACTTTGGATAAGAATGCAAAGCGGAAATAAAACAGTTCAAAAAAAAAATTGATGACTATCCATTTGATTTTGAAGAAAAAAAAAAATCTGCACCAAAATCATTTTTTTTATATACATATATTAAACATATATTAAACATATATTAAACATATATTAAACATATATTAAACATATATTAAACATATATTAAACATATATTAAACATATATTAAACATATATTAAAAAATAATTAATTTAAAATATGATTAATTTAATATTTAATGTCAAATATATAATGGTAATAAAAAAGTTTTTTAAAAATATTATTAATTTAGATTCCTGATATAGTCTATGGTTTGTTTTTTACGATGTCATTTTACTAGTTATTTTTATATGTTTTATGTGTGCTATTATTTTAGTTTTATTTTTTTTTTCATTAAAATTCTAAGGTAAAATTAAAAGTACGATAGTGTGTGAGTGTGTTTTGATGTTCTTTATATTTTATTTACGCAGAAGATGTATTTTTTGCACTTATACTTTTTTCATTTATATATTACTAGTTTATTTCTCACTTATTATTATGTTTAGAATGTCATGGTGGCATATTTAATCTCTGAATATTTTTGTTACAAATAAAAAAAAAATATATATTATTATTCTTATTGTAATTAAATTGATCTCAAATTGTTACTGACCGATACCTAATATTTGTATTTTAAATGGTCAGATTTAGTTCAAATTTCACAAATTGCTAATTTAATTATATCTTTATTTTTTTTAAGCTTAAAAAAAATTAGATCTCACTGTAGTATAGAGTACCGTATCTTTTGAACAGCAAAATATATCATATATTTAATTTTTTTTATTTTTTTTTATTAATTTTTTTTTTAAAATCGATTTTGTGAAATTCACCAACTTATTGATGCTGTATTTCGAGTCGTTACATTTTTTTTTTAAAATTGGGATTTTGTTTATATTAAAAATAACTACATTGACTAGATGAATTCTTCCTAACATAGTTTGTTCTATTTACGTTATTGAATGAAGTGTATCTTGACTCCATTGATGAAGTCTTTTTTTTTTCCATTTCATAAGACGTGAAGCGATGCACTCGCCAAACTTGGCATAATGTAAACACTTCCTCCCTGGAACCAAAAAAAAAAAAAAAAACTACAACAAAACGTCATGGTGATATAGAAAAACAACTGGCCATGTAGTGAGCATAGCACATTATCAGCCTGAAATAACTGGTAAGGAGGAAAAGATCGATAACTCCCATTTCTTGCCTGAAATGACTGAAAAACAAGACGTGATTAGTCGTCCCGTAGATGATTCTCTCCCCTGACATTGATTCGAGCTGAAGGAAGTCGCTCAAATTAACACCATTAAAGATTTATAATTGAGTTCGATATGACACGGATTTAACCCCGGCCCAGAGTTAGTCTGTGATATAATTAGTCCGAGAAATCGTTAAGAGTCTAAGTATGTCTTAAAAGACAGATGTATTTGCTTTTTTATATAAAAAAATATTAACAATGCCCATGCTCGAACAATGTATAGGCCTTCAATATAATAATAATAATAATAAGAAGAAGACGTCTTATATAGCGCGGTACCCCCGCCTAGGGCTGGGCTCACCGCGCTGTACATAAAAATTTTATCAAAAGAGACATAATCATGACATGAAAATAAAATGCATTTATGAAATAAATAACAGCAATGTATATTCACCCACACCACCACATAACTTTTACAAGTCAAACCAGGGACGGCATCCAGCAAGATCGTTTATTGGTCACAGGAGGGGAATCAGTCAGGGTAGCATAGTTTAAGAAGATATGTTTTGAGTGCAGTTTTGAAGTCCTGGGTGGTTGGTATATTGCGTATGTTTAGTGGCAAAGAATTCCATTGTTTGGGGGCGCAGAAAGAGAAAGATCGTTCACCGTATGCTTTAGTGTGTGCCTTCAGCTATCCTTTCAAATTTCTTTAATTATAACCAAACCTATTGTAAATCCATGTCTACAAATATAAAATCCAAATACTACGGACGCACTGATCTTAAGATCTCAACAACAAGCCCCAGAAGTTGAAATTTCCCATTGATAGTCTCTTTATACTCAAGGCATGCAATGACAAGTTTTTGAATTTTTATTTTTAAATTCAGCTTTTAAGTGGCCAACAATGACCAAAGTTCAAAACATATATAAAAAACAATGGTTAATTTTGTAATGATTCTTTTGTGTTTTCCTGATATAACTTTTTATGTGTTTTGCGCTGCATTTGAAACTGTCCTATTTCATTTTTTGTGAACGGAGCGCATCCAAGAAGAATATTTATTAGAAAAGTACTGACTTGTTTTTCTTTCTTTCTGTCGGGAACGGTCAGCGCCAGCGGCACAAACAAGCTTTTTAAGGGAACAAGAGCGTACATGAAGTAATATACACCAAAAAGGATCAGCGGCAAAAACAAGCTTTTTTTTAGCAGGAATCGCCTATGTTAGCCAAAACTCTTTAATTTCTTTGATTTAATAACCGTGCGTCCCAAAACTGATAATGTGTTTCCCCATTTTTAAAAGTAAAATTAATAAATATATTGATTGCTTTTTTAATTGTTAATAAAACATTTTAGCTTTCTATTTTTAAAAATTAATAAGTTTTACCTTTTTTAAATTCCAAAATATACTTTTATTAAATTTAAAACATAATAAAAACTTAACCTTTCAATATTCTTTTATTAAGAGAATGCCGTTTAAGTCAATCAGTGCAGCGAAACTCCATAGCCAAACAGCATTCACTAATCCACTTATAACTCATCCAAAATAAAAACAAACCATATAAAGTGCAAATTGTTAGTTTGGGTATGGAAGGGACTACAATCCGGTAGAAGATTTTATAATTTTACTTAATTTTTTTTTTTTTGGGGGGGGGGGGCAATTTTACCCCTGACAGCACAAGATGCGTCTCAAAAAAAGGAATGAATTTGATTAAAAATTAACCTCCTTTGTTACATTTAGTTTGGGTATGGAAGGGACTACAATCCGGTAGAAGATTTTATAATTTTACTTAATTTTTTTTTTTTTGGGGGGGGGGGGCAATTTTACCCCTGACAGCACAAGATGCGTCTCAAAATAAGGAATGAATTTGATTAATAATTAACCTCCTTTGGTACATACATATCGGAGGTGGGAAATAGGATGTGTACATTATTATGTGGATGAAAATACATTTAATTTCTATAGTATTACATTTGTGTAGTATTACATTTACTCTTTTTACAGATATTGGTACATTTAATTTTGCCCATGACAGCACAAGATACGTCTTAAATTAAGGCATGCATTTTATCAATAATGAACCTTCTTGAGTAGGCATATATACCTATTTTAACAATTTAAAAAAGACACTTTAGTCTGTGATAGACGTGAAAAACGGTTGCGAGATTTTTCTTTATATAAGAGAATTCTTTGTTTTACGATTTTCTGATAAGGCATAATTTTAAAAAAAACGAGGCAAAAGTGTGTTTAAATTTTTTATGAATCTAAAAATATATTAAATTCCTTTAATATAAAATACATTTATTTTTAAATAGAATTTTTGTTGTAAATTTAAGAATATGTTTTTTAAAAATTTTAGAGAAAAAAAGTTGGAATTCAGGGACACGAAAACGGGAAAATCCAAAGTAATTGTCTGGCGTAGAAATCGCCCCTCAATTAACTTCTTAAGTGACAAAGGGGAAATAATTAGTGATAATTTAGATTGGGTAATTTAAGTTCATGTTTAGAGGAAAAAATGTAATTTAGGGGCATTAAAGGGAGTAGGGTAGGCGTAAAATATATAGCAGATAAATACTTCTCAAAACTGAATGATATTAGAAACGTAAATATCATTAACTAGATACTCCTTTTTAAAGTTAGGAATCGTGGTGAGATTTTGCAATAGCAGCTAGAAACTATCGCAAAGTACCTACCATTATTATTAACCCGATAACATCGGGTCATTTATTCTAGTACATATATATTTTTTTAAAGCCAAATACGACTGACTCACTGATCGCGAAATCTCAAGAACATCAAGCTCTATAAGGTTGAATTTTTCAATGGAGCTTTCTCTCATGCTGTAGACGTGCTTTGTGGCCAAGAGGTCTAAACTGACTCAAACCAACTAGCTGGAGGTCTTGAGTTCAATCCCCACCAAAAATCAACATCCCAAGCACCCTGTTTGGATGGTACTCGTTAGCCTTGGACGGCAACTCATCAAAGAGAAGTCAAACTCTCAAATCAAACCAGGAGCCAAAAATGATCAATAAATTGATCGTGGGCCATAAAATATGGAGAAAGAAAAGTAACCTGCACTCACAATTTATTTGGGTGTAAATTTCATCTCTTAATTCAGCTTCTAAAATGACCTTAGTTAAAAACAATTTCAAAAGCAATAATTAAATTCGACGGCCGGTTTTTTATTTGTGTTTTGATGTCAGATTCTCGGTGTTTAGCTCTGCATTTGAACATACGCTATTTTATTTATTTATTTATTTATTTTTTTTGCTAATGCTGCGCATCCAAAAAGAATATTTTGATTTTTAAACAAACCATCACAATTTAAATATCCCCAGGGGAGGTAGGATATGTTACCTTTCACTAACGGTTTATCATTTTGTTGAATTGGACAAGATCATAGCTTTTTGTTCATCATATTCTAGAAACACATTTTTGTTATTTTCAATTATTGGTATGATACATGTTTAATGGTGTCGATTATTAAAGTATTTCACGATTTATTTCATTCACAATAAAGTGAGACCACTTAAAGGAGAAATAAGTTGAAGCTTACTATGTGGGAACATACATAAAACTATTTAGTGGCATTGATGAAAAGATAATGGCTGATATCCTCACTGTCCCTATAAAATTAGTGTAATCAATAAATTCCTCAATGGATGGGGGAAGGTTATAACAGTGAAAATAGAAAAGAAATTAGTGAGGAGCCTTGAGAAGTTCTATAAAATTAAAACTAATTTCCAGGAAAGCTGATATACTTAAAAGCTTTAAAAAATTTGTTAAAAAAGAAACTGGTGCCGGCTATAGAGTTTCTAACAAAGCCTTTTTGGTGTGCATATAATTAGATTTGACGCATATTTATTTTCATTAGACGGCGCACAGTGTCTTATCGTTTGCTTCATAGTGCAAGGAAAGAACATCGCAATTTTAAGTATTTATGT